AAAGAGAGAGATAAAAAGAAAAGAAAAGAAAAAATGAAGAAGAAGAAGAAAGAAGAAGAAAAGAAGAAGAAAAGAAAGAAGAAAGAAGAAGACAAACGAAGAAAAAAAGAAGAAGAAAGAAGCAAGAAAAGAAGAAGAAAAGAAGAAAGAAAAGAAGAAGAAAAGCAGATAGAAAGAAGAAGAAAAGAAGAGAAGAAGGAAGGAAAGAAGAAAAAAGAATGAAGAAAAGAAGAAGAAAAAGAAGAAGAAAAGAAGAAGAAACAAGAAGAAGAAAGAAAGAAAAGAAGAAGCAAAGAAGAAGAAAAGAAGATAGGAAAGAGGAAGAAAAGAAGAAGAAAGAAGACAGAAAGAAGAAGAAAAAGAAGAAAGAAAAAAGAAGAAAAGAAGAAGAAAGAAGAAGAAAAGAAGAAGATAAAGACGAACGAAAAGAAGAAGAAAAGGAAGAAGAAAAGAAGAAGAAACGAAGAAGAAAAGGTAAGAAGAAAAGAAGAAGAAAGAAGAAAAGAAGAAGAAACAGAAAGAAAAAAGAAGAAGAAAAGAATGCAAGAAAAGAAGAAGGAAAGAAGAAGGAAAGAAGAAGGAAAGAAGAGGAAAAGAGAAGAAAAGAAGAAGAAAGTTAACAATCCATTGATGCAAAATTAGTTGTTATATGTCAGGCAAATGAATGATTTTGTACTGTTTATTTTCAGTACAAAAATTGTTACATTAAATAGGTGTAATAGCACAAAACATAATGAAAGGATATCCCAGCAGATTATAATGTATTCGGCTTTTTGACATGATCTCCATGTTGAATTTGACTTTGGAGCTAATATATTTCTATTAGTAAGTTTGTAATAGAAGTGAGAGTATTATTCACGTATGTAACATTTTCTGGAATCAACTTTACTTAAAATTTCAAGTATCCTATTTATTTTAATCTCTTAGGCTCTTTTTTATCTCTAATTTCATTATTCTAAAACAGAAGGTAAAAAGAAAATTGAGAAGCAACCTACTGGAAAAAAAATCCAGCAGCCATGCTGAAGAGTTCTGATAAATCTGCATGATACAGCTTCTTCTAATATTCTTAAAACTTCATCCTCTGTCCATACAAGATCTTGGCTAGATTTACCAAGTTCATTGAGTAATCTTTCTGAATTTGGGTGTGGCAATGAGATAATCATCCATGCGCAAAAACAGGGAATAACCATTCCAAGCTGAAACAGTAGAAACTAAATGTACAAATGTGTTAACCAAAGAAAAATATAAACAGTAAAATTGCAGACACTTACATCATAACAGGTGGCGAGGACAGCCAAAATTGGGTTTTGCAAAGCATATGTTTCATGCAATAAAGCCCTTAGTGGATCTTCCGCATTGTGACATTTCAATAGTACAAGAAATAGATCTATATTATCATCTTCTCTCCAGACATCATAAGAAATTAGGCTACTTCCTACTGCTTCTTCACCAGAACTACCACTAGACAGAGAAGCAGCCAAATCCATTATTTTATCGGTGGCTCCCTTCTGCTGATCTGGATGATCTGTTTCTCGTCTGCGTTTGGTAAGTTTTTTTGGTTTCCCCACAGGAAGTGCATCCTCCTGAAAAAAAAAATGAATTTAAAATAAACCTCACATGGAAAACTGAAATAAGTTTTACCAAAGTACATTTATGAAATGTATAAACTAACTTGTTTTAGTTTCGGTTTCTTGGGAAGAATTTTGGAATAGAGAGTCTTTCGAGCATCACGAGGCACTAAATGGATAGAATCTTCTTTACTTTCAGTTGTCACTTCTACTTGTAGAATGTGAAACAAATGTTCTTGAAGAATCAAAGAACTAAAAGATTTCGAAAGGTCTTTTACCTACATGAGCAAAGAACTTAATTAGAATATAATAAAATAATAACAATAAAATATATCAATCAATGTCTATCCAACTCACTTGATGTAGAGGATATCTGTAAATTTCAATGAACATCATAAAGAGAAATAGATTATTCTCACTAGTCAGTTGTCTCAAGAATACTTCAGGTAACTTCAACCCGTGGGATCTGGCAAATTTCACTGCTAAACCCCAATGTGCAATTTCTTCCATAGATTTCTTTCCTATTTGTATGCTATGACCAATTTCTTTTTGCAGTGCTATTTCTAGAAAATGAAGGAGTTGGGTAGCAGCTTCACTGTTGTGCTGCCTCATTTCATACAACATTTCACCTGTATATCAGAAATTACATGTTAATAACTACACATGCAAACAAATCAGTATAAAGATAGTGGACAATCTATATTAACATGAAATCAAAATATGAATTTTTATCCTACCAATTTGCTCAATATTTTTATTTTCCTCTTCATTGTTTTGAAAATAGCTAAATATCTTTCTGACCGAACACAAATCAACTTTTAATCTGCAACTGTCTTCACCCAGTATTTCCGTGAAAGCAAGGCAAGATGCAGTAATTTCTTCATCATCAAAATTTTGCAAAGCTAGGCCATGAGCTGCATTAACAGCATCTTTAATTCTGGAAAATAGTTCACCAAATATGTTACAGTAATACTTTATTATTGAAAACAATAACATATTTTACCTCACCTTTTGTGTGAAAGTGTGGCGTACGTTTTATACTGATCTATCACAAATCTACAAGCTGCAAAACATGGTCTAGCCAGCTTAAGATATATCAAATAAGTCATCTTGTATTCTATACCATACTTATCTACGAGCTTTGGGCATGTGAAATGAGGGAACTCTTCTCCTTCAATCCTGAAAATAAATTGAGAATCTTTAACACAACATAACGAACAAATGTGGTTAATGTGGAAAATACTACATTTTTCAAATTACATTTGTTTTTTAAGGAAATAAGTTATACCTGTGAGACTTTTGCCATCCAAATAACTTGGAAACATCAAATGGGGAATTTCCTTCCAATAATTGATATAACGTTATATCAGGTGTCTCTTCACTTGGATTTGTAAAACTAGTGACAGCCCTCTCCAGTAGAGGGTACTGATTTAGTGTAGCAGACAAAGTAGCCCGATCTATATTTGAAATATCTTCATTTGATGTGAAAACGTCTGCTATTGACCTGCCTTCATAAACCAGCAATGCCAATACAACAACTGGATGTTCTTTTAAATATATTTTTAAATCTCCTTTTGATAGATACTGAGCATTCTTCAAAATAACATTATAAATAGCTGTTTTGTCACCAGGTTTCTTTTTCATGTCTCTGAAGGTCAACCACAAGGGGAGCCAATCACCATGATCTTGATCAGTATTACATAAATCTTCCAATAGCCTATCAGAATATTCAAAATCTTCAAGGCATGGAAAAGCTATGTCATACAGATCATTATTTATTAAATGTTTAGTAAGCAATATTTGAAATTCAGTATAAGTGACATTTCCAGATTTTTGGTTCAAAACACTTTTTAAATTGCCCACATTTCCTGTAAAGATTGTCCGTTTCAAAATGGCTCTTACATCAGCTTTCTCAGAGCTGCTAAATACTCCAAACCTGTAATTCAATTTATTAAATAGTTGTAATTATGTATCTTGAAATAATTAGCAATATGTGACATTGAATAAAAAAGGAACAAAATTCTGTATGTTAATATCAATAGAGCTCTAAAAATGAAACAACGCACCTACTTAAGTGATTCAGAACTATTTCTTTTATTGTTGTCATAGCATTAGCAGATGTTACAGAATTTACCATGTCCTCAGTAATGAACCATCTTTTGAAAATATTCAACAAACTTTCTGCTGAAATATAACTACATTCCTCAACAGCAGTAACTACAGGAATAGCTTTTAACCTTTCTGCCCACTCTTCTACACATAATGGAATTGTTTCCCATGAATTTTCAGAGAGTGCACAAGTAATCCATGTGCATAGTAAGTCTTCACGGTTGTTTTCTAACAAGTACAGCCAAACAAATTCACATTGTAACATAGATTCCAGATGACCAGCACCTAAAACAGTACCCTTAACTTTCATTTACTGAATCCATGTCATTGAAAGTAAATTAAAGAAAAAAATCAAATAACTATAAAAAGCTGCATTAATAAATTTTCTAATAAGTAAATGGAATGTATTTGTTAAAAGAATTGTTAACATAAACAAATCATTCAACAATAAAAAATACATAAATGAAGTAAAAAAGGATTTAAAAAATCATAATAATAAATGTGAACATGCCTTACCTGGGACATTAAAGAATAAAGATATTAAAACAAACTGTCGCCATTCATCTGACTTTTCTAAAACTGCACACAGAGGTATTTTATCTTCATTTAAATGGATATTCAGAAATACTTTGTCTTTAGCATCACTTCTTGTACTATAATAATAATAATAATACCAATTCTACAAATACAATCAAATTCTACACATAATTTTGGTTTGAATCAAATAAATTTATCATGTATTTCACGAGTCTTTAAACATTATTGCAAACCAATTACAGCAATATTAATTTAACTCAAACAAATCTACATAGATGCAAAGAAACCTTGAAATAAGTACAAAATTATTTGAGTCAATTTAAAATTTGAATAATAAATTATGAAATGTTTAAAATGCTCAAAATTCATATTTTATGAGAATGAGGAAGAAACTGAGACTTACCCCAAACTGGAGAAATCAATTATATCCAAAATTTTTTCAACTTGTTTCAAAAAATTGAGTGCATTCATCTCTGCACGAGGAAAAAGGCCCTTTTCTGTAAGGTGCTGAGCAAGTCGATCTCTCAATTTATGATGTTCTGTTTCCACACAAATTCTCAGAAGTGTACAATCTGGATCTTTACCCTACAAATAAAAATGTTTTTAATTCATTTAGGTATGATATGTAGTTCAAACAAGTACCAAAATAAAGTATAATGCAACCAGCACATGTATGCATAGTACCCAGAACACTTATTTTGCTTTGTCTATGAAATGATTAATTCTTATAAGCCAATGTTTTTGAGTTAACTGATCATATTGAGAATTTTTTTCAATGTATGAATAGAAAACTACTCTTGAAGTGAATAAAATGATTCAGTTACTTGCTCAATTTTAAGCATTTTGATGAGAGGAAGGATAACTTACTACTATCCATAAAATCATTTCAGCCTTTTCAAAGTCTGACTCCTCAAGAAGTAATGAAACCCAGTTGTCCACAAAGTTATGATACTGAGAGTGAATACTACTTTTAGGCCAAGATCGAACTTTAATAAAAAATACTTGAGAAAGAGGAACACAGTTCTTCATTATAGCATCTTGAATTACATCTTCATCACTCATATCGTTCCACTTTTCCCATTCTGCAGACAGTTGCATTGGGCACCCTTTATATTCACATTTGGTTTCTCTAGCTTCTCTTGTGATGGATTGTCCTAAAAGGTGCTTTCTAAGTTGGATGACATGTAACATAATTTGCTCTGCAAATTCAAATGCAAGAGTAAGTTTCTTTCCACAAAGGCACTCAAGTAAACGATTGATTTGTTCTAACGTAGATGCAATAAGCTGTTCATGAAGAGCTGGTTTTTGAGCATATTCAGTACATGATTGTTGGATCACCAGCAAAAGTTCTTCTAAGTCAGCCATAAGTTTCCTCATCTTATCCTTCCAACCATTCTCTTCATACTCAGCGATATTTAAAAAGGTGCTCTTTAAACCTGTTTCAGAAGGTTAGAATTTTAAAACTTTAATAATGTAAAGAAACAACAAGTAAAATTTATGCAAGAACATAATATTAATGACTTACCATGAACATGAAGACTTAAAGCTAGTTGAACAACATCTAACTGTTGTTGTTTAAGAGCGACAACAACGGCTGGAAGAGGCACCATAAGGTTTGTCCATGTCTCACCTTGTAACAAACGACCCAAAGATTCTCTCTGCATGCAATGCAGCATCTAAAATTATTAATTGATGTGTTTTGAAAAATTTTATAACTTTTCTCCATATATTGGGCTGAATAAAGTATTACACACCTTACTAACAAGAACATCATGTGGTAATGTTCCAAGAAACATAAAAAGACCTCTGGGAGAGAGAAAAGCATCTTTAAGACCCACTAATCCTCCGGGAATAACAACTGTGTCATCAGGAAGCTGTTGTTCAATGCACGTGTTGTTCACCAAATCATGTAAATAGTAAATTCCACCAGTCTGGGCATCAGGCTCAGTGAACCACACTGACAATTCTCCATTTCTGAGTTGAAGACCTCTTACTGTAAGACCCTCAGGTGGATCAGACAGTTTTTGCATACATGAATATTGGTCTTCTGAAATACCTAATTTAAAGCATTACATCTTATCAAAAATAAGCTGCTAGCAGTAAAACACAGTACTTTTAAACTATTTTCTTCAAAATTATTTTTTCATGTGGAACACAATTTGTTTTAAACCTGAAGACTTCGATTTAGAATAAACTGTATGTACAATATGTAATTAACTTTGAAATGCCAAGAGTATTCAAAAACATCATAGAAATCTAATAGAGATAAAATCATATAATTTCCAAACCTAGAAATGACGATTTCTGTAAAGACTGAATATATGAATTCCATGTCACTTTATAAGATGTGCTATCTCCAGAATCTTGGGTAATAGATGAACTTAAAGAAATAGTATCTGGACTGGAACAAAGATATTAAGCTCAAGAAAAACACAAAAATTTAACTATGTTAAGTACATTAGGTTTACACGAGTCTATGCATAAACCTACAGCACTTTTGGTTGAACACGGCTGGCAGATGTAAGTCGGGATACATCAGAACCAAATGATCTAATACTGGTTCCACAATCCCACCTGGAACTGTATACAGAAATCACATTAAAAAAATTAAGAATAAATCTTAACACACTTGTTGAACAAATAGTTCTTACTTTTGATGTTCACTGACATCATCCATTGCAAAAGCATTTTTCACTTTTATAAGAAAAACCTGACTTGCTCGATCTGATACTGCTAGGGATGTGCCATCAAGATTCACAGACAAATATTTAAAACTAAGGACATCCATTACTCGAGATGGTGGAACCATAGCATAAATATGGACAACGCCCAGTTGTCCTCCATCATTTTGATCATAAGCAGCTATCACTCATTAAGGCAAATAAATTAATAAGTCAAATTAACAGTAATTTATTCATTACAATATCTCAAGTCATTATTTAAACAAATACTTAAAAAATCACTAATTTCCCTATATTCAATTAAAGGATACAAACATTGCCACCAGCTGTTAATGTGTAAATTGCATTGAGTCCAATATTAATGGTAACACAAGAAGCAACTTCAATTTTATTATGAGCCAACAGAATATCTTCACTTCCCCATTTTAATATAATTAACCATACATTATTCACAAACACAATAACAGTCTTTTTATTAAATTTATGTAGCTTCACAACACTTTCACACGTTAATTCTGAAATGAAAATCATTTTTTTATAGTTAATGATGTTGTCAGAGATTCTTTCCATTCAAAAATAGTAAAATGAAAATATAAAATGAACCCAATAACTTATAACAAGGGGATTTTAGAAATAGTTTTTACATTTCAAAAATATTAATGAATTTAAAAATATTAATGTGAGATATCATCAACTGTCATGCTATTAAACATTGTAGGATTAAAATAAGAGTATTTCATACCTATGTCAAATTCACCAATAATGAGGGACAGTTCTTCCAGACTAATTTCTCGAAGAAGAACTATGGAGGCTTCAAGTAATCTGTATATTCTACAACAATTTTCGATTGATATGACCATGAACTCATTGCCTTCATCTGAGAAAATGCAACTATAAAAATAAAATCTTCATAAATGACAAAACTAACAAGGCAATTCAAGTCCTTAATACAAAACGATTTAACTTGAAATAATAGAAAACTTCTCACACAAAACTAAAAACTTACTTCAAACTATTACATGCAATAAACTCATCAGCTCTAATTTTTAAATTTTACAAAATGCCCTTTAATTTTCAATCGACTACAACAAGTTTCTCTAGCAAAACATTATGTAGATTTATTAAAATTCTGTAAAATCCCTTGAAAAATTAAAAAATAAATTAAACATAGTAATACAAAAGCAAATACCTATATTATTATTGTTAGCAAATTTGACATCACAATAGATCATATAAAAAATTCTAGTTATAAATAAGCAGACTCTACACACAATGAGAGACTAAATATAAATTATATTAATTTAAAATTATTTATATACCTGCTGACATCTGAGCTTTCCCAAATAGGTCCTTCAGTATATTCATTGTTTCTGGAAAGGTAATACAGCAGTGCTTTGTTATTCAACAGCTGTATATATACATATTTTACATCTGTAGAAATTTTCATTGACTGATATTCATGCAATGGAATGCAATTTGAAACATTGCAGAGCTTTATAAATCTTTCTTCCATGTTATGAATACAAAGAAACCGTTTGAATGATCTTTCATTCCATGCCTTTCCTACGAGATGACAAGAGTCAGCTGACACGCCTGATACCTGTCAATATTTTCAGTACGCCCATAACCCCTTTGAAATAAATAAATATTTGTCAAAGCTTAGTGAAAATGTCTTAAATGAAAGAAAAATGTATTTTGAGTTCGTAACTTAAACTTTGCATAATAAACGTAAGCAATGTTAATGTTTAAACATACAAAATATTAAATGTACTATACAGATGAATCACTGGTATTGGTTAAGAAACTCATTTGTTTGAATATAACTATTGAAGCGAACAAAAGTTTAGTCATGTTCTCATCAAAACACTGTTCTTTATAATTATATCTTCAATCGCTTATTTCCAATTTCTGTAAATCAATTCAGAAAGTTAACGGGATCTGTGTAACACCCAACATGATTTTGACGCTTCATCACAGTCATTTGTTCATCATCTGAACTTGGCCGATGGCCGAAGACGGCCAAAGATGGCAGCTTCCTTGTGTTCGAGTCAAGTGATAAACAATAAATTGAGTGAAATTTTAAGAAGACGCATTTGCCTAAAACAAGTACAATTTGGTACATACTCAAATCGTCGATTACTTTCTAATTTAGGGGCAAGAAATGTTCCTTTCGAGGGCGTTCCACGGCAAGATAGGTACCCAAATTTTGATGTTTTCTGTGAGGCTGTGAGGAGCTCACATTCGCACAAATATGTGTATAGTAGTTGTAGTAAACTCTATAGTGGAGCAAATGAAAGGACTCAGAATATTAGTGGTCATATTTTGCATACAGGAAAATACACACACTATAGTAAAGATAGAGGGAAAACAGAGCTTATGATATCACAAATAAGATGGAATTCAAGTGGTAACCCGGCAAAAAGTTTGCCCCCTTTGATGAATTTCCCAGAAATAGTCTGGCCTAGTGTCATTAAAACTGTGAAGAACAGAGTTTTATCTAGTTTTATTATTACTCCATATTTTGATAGAGAGTTCCGTCTCTCAGACTTTGTTCAAGGCTCTAAACAGGTGAGCTGATTTCTAAGACATATTCTTTTATTTTTTTAAATTTATTTTATCGTTCATATTCTTTAGTGCTTACCTAATATACTATTTCAGGCTGTGCAGTGTGTATCAAGCTACTTGTCGAGGGGAGATTACAATTCTTTGGAAGGTTTAGTGACTAAAGATGCCTTAAGTGAAGTAAAAAGAAACATGTCTTTATTCTCTGTTGAACAAAGACATGATTTGTTTGTAGATAAAGAAGATATTTATTTTTCATTTCCATATCAAATTGGAATTATGTTCAATGATGATGACCGTAAGTTGTTTGTATAATTAATTGCATGATAAATTTTGTTATGACCTTTTTATCTCCAAGATATATTTTATTATATTTTAGAGAATCAGCAAAGATTTGTGGAAATTACAATGGTGTATCACATACTTCATGGTTTGAAGGAAATGAGAGCTCAAGATATAAATCCTCCATTAAATCTAGGGATGCTGCCTGAATATCAAGATAAACTTCATCTTTGCAACTATCGCTTTATTCGTGAATTTACTAAAGGTGTTGAAAGTGATTGGACTGTAAATGTTGTGAACCATTTTAAACCAGTAGATCAAATCAGATCATGAATAAAATTGAAAAAAATGTGCATTGACTATACATTATTGTATTTTTGTCATGTTTAGTGAGATAATAATGGTTATAAAGGATTGGTAATGCACAAATATTAAATGTTTTTTATGGACATATTTTGTTATTTATTTAGTTACTTTAAAACATTCCTTTGCCTTCCTAAACATTACTTATATTATTATCTGAAAGATTATACAATAAATAGTAATTTCTCTACCACATCAATTTCAAATCAGAATTAATTGATTGAGCATGCCTTTTACTTTCAGACATAATTTATTTCTTGTTACTTTTTGTTCATTTATTTGATAAAAAACATTTAATATATATTTTTATAATGTGACAGTATTTCATGTAGATCATTATTGAAGGTGTGCATGTGGGTTTTTTAAAGTTGCATTATAACTTCTTGGTCAAATAGCAACCATTGTGATTTTTAAGATGGTAACTGTAAAGGAAACACACAAGGATAACATGAACTCTCACATTCATGCAGGTTTTGAAACTGCAACACTTCAAATCAAGGCAGACATTACCCTTCAGCCTTAGCAACCTCAGCTAAGGGAGCATTTATTGTGGTTTGTGTGTTAACTTGGTATATACTTTTTATTTTTCCCTTTTCCCGATCCCAAATGAAAATCTAATACCAGTCATAAAAATTTGAATTTTTATGCATGCGATGGACTGTAGATGCATATTTTGAATTTCAACAGTTTTTTTTTAATAATTATGCTCCAAATTGTTGATACATACTGAAGAGAGTACTCTTTCTGTTGTTTCTGTATTTGAATTTTATTCTTATAGAAGTTGAGATACAACAGTGTCAAATTGTCCTAAATGCTTGATCGTCTAGAAATGTTAAGAACTGTAAATTGTGTGAATGTAATGTCAACAATTGTGGAAAGTAACCTTTTAATAGATAAACTGCCCAATTCAAATAAGGAGGTCTCGTAAGAAATAAATAAAACAAGTGTGTTTCATTATATTAGCATATTGCTTTTCTAAGAAAATGTAACGTAGTGTAGTGCTATATATGTTCAGAGATGTCATTGATGTTGAAACATGTACAAGCTATACTCGGCAAGATGAAAATCTGATTGATATTTTCCCAGTTGAAGAATGAATCATTCATGAATTATTAACTGGTAAAGGTGGCTCAGGGGGCAACTGATGTCATTGCAGTGCCTTTGACTGGAAGGATGCAGGGTTCAAGTCCTGACCGTGACAGGTTTTTTATCACTAGCTGTATCAAGTTCAGGTGCTGTCTGGAAGAGAATTCAAGTGGCCAGTTGATCTGATCTGATGGTTTCGCATGGTTTCTTCAATCAACATCAAGCAAATGCCAGAACAGTGCGCTAACAAACAGACTGTGTGTGATCTTTCCTTCTTCTTCCTTGTCCTATTATCTCACCTCAAACATGTACACTCACATTCCATACAGTATCACACATGTCGGGAGCTTAGAACTCGACCTGGTTGGGGTGGTACCATGGGCTTCTGGGAGATTCCTGGTTGGGAAAAATTCCTGCAAGTCATTGTAGGTTGGTACCGGATCTCACCAGCCAGCAGAGAAGATTACAGCCTTGCCCTGCAATAAAGCATGCACTACACTTATGGGACGAATGACTTATCCGTTAGTATGCCCAGAATCACTAATCAATCATAATGTTATAATTTATAATAAATATTATACTTTCTACAATATGATTCTGTGCTCACAAAAACATCATTAAATCATACATTAATGCTTTGACAGATTGTATGTTTCATTAGTGACATTTTTTAAAATTAAAAGAGAAAAGTTTTTTTTTTTTTGTTGTTAAACAAATGCTCTTCATAAATTTTTTTGAAAATATATTATTGATTCTTTTTCAGGCTGATAGAAATTTATTATCAATCAACAACGTCAAAAATAAAGCTGTTGTTGATGTGCCAAATAAATTGATAATTTTATGTACATTCAAATCATTGGTTGAATATTGTTCATATTGTAGACTTAAATTGTTTTAATGAATAATTCCACGTCAAATTTACCACATTTTGCATGACCATATTAGTGACAGCTGTAAAGTTAATCACAAGGGGGGAACACATCTTACTGGTATGATTTTAGGACATTTGTTGACAGTTAATCCATTTAAAGGCTAGTTGCAAAGTGGATATTTTTATGGAATTGTATAGCTTAGATTATTATAATAAATTTACAAGACACTTTAAGTTTTTGTATATGGACAAGTTTTGTGTGTGTAATGTAGATACATACACACACATATATGCACACCCACCTACCAGATGTCATAAATTCAATGATACTTCCAATAGGGCAACTGACGGAAGATACGCAAGAGCACCGACATAAAGAATATCGGAAGTATGGGGCTAGGGAACATCGCGAGCTGCAACAAAAGAAGACCATCTTCAGACCCTCTCATTTCGAGCCTGCGGAAAACTCAGAAGACAAGATGTGAACGTCTTCCAGATCAAATTTATTAATTCGCGATCCACGATATTGAGAACGAAATGTTTGAACATTTGAATGACAGTGAATGGAACGAAATCTTGTCTAAAGGTCAAGAAAGTATCTATTTATTAATTTATTTTTTTGAAAGTCAAAACAATATATCATTTGGTATTTTGTCTCAAAATGTAAAATATGTACATCATTGCTCCTTCAGTGCAGCTTTAAGAGGTAAAATTACCATAAGTAATAATGTTTTAATCCTTCTTTTAAGTAGAAAGTTCCTTTTATTCTCTCATTCACTTCGAAGTAGAAGAGCCGATAATAAATTAGCTTCAATATTGTAAGCGTTTACAAAGATTTATTAATATTTTCGTAATTATTATCTCGTAATATCCTTTTTCGAATTTTCAACAAACTGAAGTCTTTGGATATGGTGATGATCCGGTATTCACCTTGATATGATAGGTATTAGAGCTGTTAGATTACCATTTCAATTCCGACAAGACCACAAACTCGTTGCAGTTTATCACATGAAGCCGACTTCCGGCATCGAACTGCCGACCTCCCGTTCACCGGCGTACTCGACTGCAAGGTGCTGCCTTTACAATCACCGATACCCGTGTTGATAGCGAATACATTTATATCCCAAAACATTGTTAATCTCAAAGGTATCGTCACTAGGATTTCTGTCCACCTAGCCACCCACAATTGGTCAGTGCGCGCCGGGAAAGCCCCAGCAAGCAAGGCCGCCTCACCGCAGCGCCGAAAAGAATTACGTCGCGCCACGGAACGGGATCTATTCAGGAGGGAAGGTGGAGCAAAATATTGGCGTAGGTCAGCACAGCCTCGCGGCGAGCAATCGGGCCCTCATGTTTGCGACAGTTAAGGCGAAGTGAACGGGAACTTTTGCGCTTCGCAAAGCCATTAGGGCACGAAAAGAACTAATGCCTTAAGAAATATGAAGTGGTAGGCTTCCGCGGCCGGAGTCTTGTGAATGATCTTGGCTGTCCGGGTGGTGCCGCGTCGAAGGCTGTGTTAAGAAATAATTACTTTTTTGTTTTGTATCATTGTTCAAAGTTAAAGGGTAAGTTTATGAGCAATCCAGGATTTAAATTTTATAAAGAGTTTTATAAGGTGTTTAAGTTTATTCTATGTTATCTAAAGTCATGAGTTCAGTTTTTGCAAGATCACAGTTCTGATTCTTTCTCTACTGAGATTTCGAACGTGATCATTGAATAATCAGTAACGAGAAATTACAAGGTACCAGCTGTGCATCGGTCATAATCAGAGTAGGAGCATTACTTGTGAAACCTAAATTCATGTGTGTCAGTAAGTCAAACAGTTTTACAGGTGTTGTTCATATAACGAAAGGATAAAGTACGGAATTGAAGTGTCCATCAAGTGAATATTCATTTGAAAAAAATCAGCCAAACTGTATTGTGTACTTGATTTCAAAATACCGGTGCTCTGTACATTTGATTTCTTTGCGTGACTCTGGATATACGTTTTTCACCCAAAAGATCCCACTGCCCTGAGATAATTCATAGCTTTTAAATGAGCAATCGATCTGTGACTCCACATAGGCGTGTAGGGCACGTATGTATTTGCAGGAGGCGTTAGAGAAGTGTGTGTGTGTATATATATATATATATATATATATATATATATATATTTCGGAAAATGTAATGTTTTCATCTGGAATTTCTTCTCTTGAAAAAAGAGGAAAGAAAGGAAGAAACTACACATGATTGTTTTCCTTATTAATACTTCATTGGTACATGAATCTGCCTTACTTAGAACATGTTTTGAAATGTTGTATAAGGAAGTTCAATTTTTCGAATCTACCGTTCCCCGCAGATAGCTAATGTACACCGATATTGCACAGACAACATAGCAAGTTGACGGAAATGATCCTTGCAAAAATGAAATTCCTAATACAGCATATGTGGTCGTGCTCAGATCCCTTCTAGGTCCTGCTCTTGACAAAGTTTCAAGTACCTCATATGTGCGGAAATCAATATAGTTGAAACTATTAAAGCTTGATTAAAAAATACATGTAAATCAATTTTCTGTAGTGTGCATAGTGTCCACTACATGTGCATGTGTGGGTGGATAATTTCTCTTGCTTCTGCCCGTCTTCGCTGCTAAAAAACATTTTCGATTTTGGAAGAATAGGATGCGTTTAACAAAATTCTGACAAAAACTTGCTACGGTTTATAGTGCAGTCGGCAGACCTGGAAAAGGGAAGTTACCTGGAAAAAGATCATAATAGTAATTTAGGTAACAAGACCTTAAATACTAATAGAGGTCGTGTAATAGAGGTCGTGTCACAATGTTGTTAGTTTTTCTAGTTATTTAAAATAAGCATTTCACACTTTCATGTGTTAAGAATTGCCATTACTCTCGATGCTTTGTAGCAAGGGCTGTTTGTACAGGGTCTTGGTACCGTTTTAAAATAATCGCAGTGCGCGGAAGGGCCAAAAGGACAAACGGGGACAACTGGGGCGAAGAAGGCAAGGGGATCAAATGAGACAATGGGGACGAAATTGAAACAAGGGGAACAAGTGTGACTAATGGAACGAATGGGGCAAAA